TACAAGGATATTTATCATAAAGTATCCTGCTGGCATACATCACATGTGGTCTATATTATAAGACTTATGTTTATTTTGTAATTCCAAGGCTAGATACTCCAAATCATAGTGCCCTTCTCCCATTCTTTCATCACTCCATCAAACGTTTATTTTATTTTATTTTATGTCAAATCCCTAGTTCCTTTGAGGGTACTGTCTTACTCATCACTGAATTTTCCATAACATTTAGCATAATGCATTGTACATAATGTGTGCCTACTGTATCTTTGATAAATTAATGATTCATTTATGTTTGATTTCAATGGATAAGATGAGACCAACATTTCAATTGTAAATATTATTTTCTATTTTTCCTATAGGCATACTAACGTTACTAATATAGCATAGCCTGAATACTCAACGCTACTTTCTGTTCTATGTGGCAATGGAATTCTACCTTTCCCTGAATAACCTCACTGTCTACTTTTGCGGATTGTGGCCAAAGAATAGAGGTTCTATAAGGCCTCCAGAGGATTGCAGAGTCCCATTCACTGTAGTGTTTGTGAATGTCACACATAAAAGTTGTTCGGTGCTTAGTATAACAGCCGTAGATGCAGTATCCTACCCTCCCTTACAATTCATCCGACCTCACAATTCAGAAACCAAGGAGGTCCCAATTGACCTTGCCTGGGTTATGAGCTTTGCAACCTGTGTTGCATGCTACTGTTGTATGAAGACATTTCCTTCTATTACTCTGCATTAGAAGCTAGAAATGAAGACATTTACCAAATTCTTAGAACATTGAAGGCATGACAAAGGAAAAAGCAACAGCTCTTCTGAGTAGAGTAACTCAGCCATACCTAACGGTAGCATGGGGTGTTCTCTCTATGAACATAAGTGACTTTCACAGAATGACCTTTCCTTTGGCAAGATGCCTAAGTAGACGACTCTATTATAAATGAAACTCACTGTAGGTATATAACCCAACACATTAATGAGTAGAATTTTTTAAAATGGCATTGTTGTATAAGGAAACATCCAGAACTGAGCCACAGAATTAGCAGTGATTTATGGCTCTTGTTAATTTTTGAAGAGGACTTAAGGAGTAGAGCAGTAGCTTCAAATTCTTCCAGGAGAACATCAGTGGAAAGAGTTGTACTTGTAATTATTCAAGACAACTTGCCAGATGGCATAATTAAAAGTCTTTTATTAAATAAGTATTCTTATTTGACAGACAGACAAGAGTGATTAACAGGAATTTCTTTTCTAGCTACCCTCAACACACTTCCAATAAATAGGAACTTTCTTCTTCCCTGCCGTGGGCCATGACAGAGCTTATTGGAAAGTTGTCCTTATCATCTTTCTTCTCCCATGTGCTCCCCAGAGGTATTGAGGGTTATCTTGATTACATGAGTCCCAAAAGCCAGGGTGTAAAGCGTTTTTTTTTTTTTTTCCAATCTACAGCCATCATCATAGTGTATCCTTTTAGTCCTAAAGAACTTATTTTGCAGCTTACAAAACATTGACACATCTTTCTTCTTTTCCCTTTCTACATTAAATGTAAACTTACCTCTCCTCTGCCGTTTACCAGGTTTCTTCAAAGGTAGTGCCTGGGTTGCCATTGAATTTTCCATCATATTTAGCACAAAGCATTCCAAGTATTCTTGGTAAATAGATGAATCATTCATGTTTAATTTCAAAGGGTAATAAGTGGGATGAGATTCAAATTTCAATTTCAAATATTCTATTTTATGAAGTATCTCCATCCACAAAAGCCCAGCTGTGAACTCTAGCCCCTGTCTCTTTTAATCACCTCCACCACTTTCAGTTGATTTTTTTCCAACAGATGTTTTCATGCTCCAGTATTTCTAACACGTCACACACCTGGCATTACAACTACTTTAGCTTGACCAACGGTTCTTCTCCCTAAATCTAATGTAAAATTTAACTCTGGCTTGATCCACAGAGCTGCAAGGGGAAATGTCATTTGTTTCTTCTTCTCTTTATCCCTACAGGACTCTAACCATAAGTCTAAAGTTTGGGAAAAAATGCTAAGGAATGTGGAGTCAAAAGAGGCTTGGAGGTATAACTTTGAATAAGACAGTCATGGCTGATACAAATGAGATGACAATCCAAATGGATATCAGAAGGAGGGGGGATGCTGTGGTATATGCCAGGAACTGGACTACATCACTGAAATACCAGAAATTTAAGGAAGATAAGAGCAAAGGGAAGTTAATAAAAGCAGGTAGACAGAAGGGAGGCCTGGAAAACTTCTAAAAACCATGTTGCTGTCAACGCTGAACATTTTGAGTAGACACGATTTTATACACCAAACATAGGATAGATTTAAGCACCAATAAATCACCCACAAGTACTTGTGAAAATATTTTTCAGGAGCACCATATGTATTCTTATAAGAACTGAGGAAAATGACTGGAGAAATATTTATGAAGCAGGAAATTACAAAAATAAACCTGAATTTGAGATTCTTTGAGAAACAACATCTAAAATGCAAATAGAAAACCTACTAAAATGTTTTAGTTTTTCTGATACTGACTACCATTTTTTTTTTTAATTTTCAATTCCACTAAGGAGTTGCAATTAGGTACATTCAGAAGCAGAACTGCCAGTTTAATAATGGAATTTGGGGATGGTCATGTTCAACTTGTTCTGAGGCCCCATCAAAAAAAAAAAAAAAAAAAAAAAGACAAAGCAAGTGAAAGGACTATTGACTGAAATCTTGGCTTTCATTTGTTTCCTATTTTCCTACTGCTTTATTTTCAAATAGCTTAAAAACTATTAAAAGATCATGATGCGCTTTGTGTCTAGGTAGAATGAAAAATGCCTCCTTGCATTCTACCTATCCAAAGTTATCACCTATGGCCCTCACCTGGAACATAGTGTGTACCACTGGCAGATGCACAAAATGTGGTGTAATTCTCAGTTTCCCAAGGACATAATGTGATCTCTGGTTGAATATGGTGATCAAGTACCTGCATTTGCCTCTATTTCTCTAAAATGTGAGAGAATAAAAACAGAATTAAACCCATAAACCTGAACAGAAAGAGAAGGGAAACAGAATCATTATCCAACATTAGATTTTGAGGCACTATTGAGAGATGAAAAATAAATGGGAACTATATATTTGAATGAAGAATGTTGATGAATCTCAGTCAAAAATTAGCATAAAAAGAAATGGCAGGAAAAGAGGGAGCTAATCTTTCAAGCAAACCCCAAAGGGTTTTGAAAAGAATTGGTAGTCATGGAGGGGTGGAATTAAAAAAGGGTGCAAAATTGGTAGGGGAGTATGACTAAAATTCTGGCCTAGGAACGAAAAGCCAATCAGCTGTTTACTCCTCTCCTCTCTCTCTCACGTTTCTGGATATAAGAAGGATACAAAAAAGGTCACATTGATTTTAAGCAAAATAAAACCAAGCAAAATGACAATAACCATCATAACACAAATGATGACCTCTTCATTTAAAAAATGTAATGCACTGAATGGGGTGGACTAGCAGCACTAGTGGGTGCTGACTGTGATCACAAGAGTAAATTTCTGCCTGCTCTGGCAATCCCTTATTAAGAGCCTGACATCTTAGTGATTTATATGTCTAGCTGGCCAGGTCAGATTCCTGATTGAAGAAGAAATTTTGTGGGGAAACAAGCCTACCAATACCACAGTAGAGACATTTAGTTCACTACCTGGAAAAGTCAGCCCAATACCTCTTGTTTTGAATATGCTAAATATAACCTATAATCACTTGGGCATATAAAAAAGCAGCATCAAAATGAGAAAATAAGTAGATAAAACAATTATTGTGAAAACAGAAATAACTCATGAAAGAGAAAGAACTAAAAAAGAGAATCTAATTAGTCTTTTCAGAGAGATTGGAACGATATCACTGAAAAGTCAATAAAACAAAGTGAAGGAAGTCAAAATGGACATAGAACAAAATGGACAATGAGGCAGAAAATATGATGAAATATACAAAGTATAAAAGAAAAACAACCTGGTAAACTCAACATCTAATAAATATGAGCTCTGAGAGAAGAAAGCAGAAAATAGGAAAGAGGAAATAAGCAAAATAACATACAGGAAAAATGTGCATATCTGAAAAAATACATGAGTTTTTCTATTTAAAGATAACTTCAATTACACAAATCCACGAATGGAATAAAATCAAACAAACCCATCTCCTACTCCTAAAAATATCATCAGGCAATTTCAGAACATACAAAACAAACAAACAACAACAACAAAAAAAACCAGCCATCTCAAACTTTGCCAGTTGCTTTGGCAGAGAAATGAGACCTTAGCACTCAAATGCCCAGATATGATTATAACTCACTTTCCTCTTCTTCAATTCATTTGCCAAAGGTAGTCACCTGCCTGCATCAAATACACAAGGTCTAGAAAGCTCAATTACCCCATGTGCATAGAAGAGAAAGAGAAGGAAATATTACTTGGTAAAAGCACCTAAAATGTCTGCAATCCTTGCTTCTACATGACTTTATTAAAAAGTATGTACATAGAGTTCTAGGATAACAAGAGTAAAAATTGAAAAAAATATGGAGAAACATGTTAATTTTACAAAGAGTAAATCAAAAGATATGGGTAAGAACTAACTTTTATGTTATATGTATAATATGTATAGTGATAAATTATAAACATAAAATATACAATTTTGACCATTTTTAAGTTTGTGATTAGGTGGCATAAAGTACATTCAAATTGTTTTGCTGCTATCTCTACAATTCATTTCCAGAACTTTCGTCTTCCCAAACTAAAACCTTATAACCACTAAATTACAATTTCCTATTCATATCTTTCTATAGTTCCTAGCAAACGTTATTCTTTTTTGTCTCTATGAATTTGTCTACTTTAGGTATAAGTAGAATTATATAAAATTTGTCCTTCTGTATCTGGTTTATTTCACTTACCCTAATGCCTTCAAGGTTCATTTATGTTGCAGCATGTGTAAAATTTCACTCTTTTTTAAAAGGCTGAATAATACCTCATAAATATGAAACACTTCACAAATGTACATGCCATCCTTGAGCAGGGGTCATGCTAATCTCTATATTATTTCAATTTTAGTGTATATGCTACTGAAATGAGCACTAAAGATTTTTTTTAAATTGTTTAATAGCAATGATAATCAATTGAAAATCTAATAATAGGCGGGGCATGGTGGCTCAAGCCTGTAATCCCAGCACTTTGGGAGGCCGAGGCGGGTGGATCACGAGGTCAAGAGATCGAGACCATCCTGGTCAACATGCTGAAACCCCGTCTCTACTAAAAATACAAAAAATGAGCTGGGCATGGTGGCACGTGCCTGTAATCCCAGCTACTCAGGAGGCTGAGGCAGGAGAATTGCCTGAACCCAGGAGGCGGAGGTTGCGGTGAGCCGAGATCGCGCCATTGCACTCCAGCCTGGGTAACAAGAGCGAAACTCCGTCTCAAAAAAAAAAAAAAAAGAAAAAAAAAGAAAATCTAATAATAGAGAGGAAGATTAAAAGTAAGGGTCATACATATGAGTTTAATATTTCTCTCCATCAGATAGGAAATGGTACTACCTATATGTTATAGATCAAGAGTCATATTAGCACCTTGAAAGAGATATGGATGTTACCTCTACAAGAAGCAATTTTTTAAAAACAACAACAACAACAAGGAATTATCTTTGGAACAGGGACTACTAGGTAGTTATAAAGGCAGAACAAGAGAGAGTTTTATTTTAAGGCATTCTGCATTTCTGGTTTCATTATACATGCAGACACACACACACACACACACACACACACACACACACACAGAGTCATAAACAGTGTCTCCAACTACACTACTACTTAATAACCAGAATTGTAACCCAGTACTCTTCACATTTAATTGTGTCTATTTTTTTTATGACACCAGAGTGACTCTCCCAAAACACTTTCATGAAGACTCTGCCAACCTGAAGTAATCAAAAAGATCAGAATCCAGTTTTAAAAAGTTTATTCAAGCAAAAAGCAAAAATCTGGGAATGGGCATTAGAGAGTCACAGATTCCAGAGAAATGGGGTCAGTGATCCAAAGTTAAAAGTTAGGCTCTTGCTTATATAGGCAGAAAACAAAGAAATTTGACAGGAAAACAAAATGTTCTATAAAAGATTGGTTTATAAGTCACAATAATTTAATTAGTACAGTCAGTCTTTTCCATACAGCTCATTTTCATTTCATTTCCAGTTTGAAAGCGTATATATAACATTCCATCTAAAGACAATATAATGGCCATGAAGCCTTTGTGTGAGAACGGTGAGAGGGAAATTAATCTATAATGAAGATCAACAATAAAGGTAGAAAGGATCTTCCCCAGAATCCTTCAGTCATTTATAATATTTTACAAAATAATGAAGGCAAGAAAGAAGGCTTAATCTATAATCAGAGAAACAAAGCTACAACCGCCTTGGTTACAGCTGCCTGTCACATAAATCAGGCCCCATAATCACGTTTCTTTAAGACTCAAAGCAATTTACAGTTCCGGGAGCTTAGATTTTAATTCACTTATGTTCACAGTCCTTATTGCCATAGACAACAAAACCACATAGAAGAGAACGTAGGAAAATACATGGAAATGCATAGCAGTAGCCTGGCTCCAGAGTTCCCTTTTCTCCTTACTTTCATGTAGGACTCCTCATGTTACTAATGTTACTCTTTTCTGCAGCAGTATCCTTTCATTACTATAACTGCTACTGCTACAGTTCCTTTAAATGAGATCTATATGCTTCTTTTTGCACTGGCCTTGTTACTTACTTGTGTTTTGGCTCAGAAAACAATACCATAAAGTGAAAGCCTCAGAAGCAGCCTCAGAAACAAAAGTTTTTCTCCCATTCTTCCTCGAGGTTAGCTATAGAAAACAATTCCTTTTCCCCAAGGGGGGCCATAGAAACAAGGATGGCTTTTCCCCAATGGTAGCCATAAGACTTAAGAACATCACTCTAACTTTCCCTCTACACTATCTGTGTAAAAACTTGTCATAAAGAAATTATCTGACCTGCCTTGTTTGACTGTGGGTCATAAGATCCCTATTCCAGCAGTCCTGCCCCATACCCAGAAGAAAATAATGCATGTTCAGAGATGCCAAGAAGTATCTCCATAGTCAGACTTGCTGGTTTTCCCCACTCAGTCTATTAGCATTAGATCATACCCTTTTTGTCCAGTCATATTTCTACATAGCTGTCCATACTTTGTTGGATCTAAGCAAAAAAATGAACAATTTTCTCTATATCTTTGGGTCTTCATTCTGAAGGATCCCATGTTTACATGTTAAATAAATTTGTATCCCTTCTATTCAATTACTCTGCCTTTTGTGAGTTGATTTTTTGGTGGAACTTCAGAGGACCAAGGGAAGAGCTCTCCCCTCAATGTTTTTCAAAGGCCCATTCTTGTTCAGCACAATTTCCACATTAACCTCAGAGCTCACCTGTGTCAGGGAAAGGCTTCAGCACCCAGAGACTTGTGTAGTGGCCATTATTGCTGTGTAAATAAATAGTGCCCATGCATTCTCTGGTGCCCTGCCCTTTTCTTAGCCATTCAGAGACAGTCACACCTAGTTCATGTTTATCTTCCTGACTAATTTGAAAGCCTGAGCTCCTCTTAGCAATGTTGCCGCTGTCAGAAGCTTACAGTGGAGCTCCTGAATCCACAAGATGGGTACATCCTCTGTGTGATTGCATCTAGGCAACTGAAATATAAGCACATGCATGCCAAATTTTGACAGATGGAGGGAGATATCACATTACATCCTCAAATGGACTAGGGAAATTATTTAAACTAAGACTATGCTCAGTTTTACAGAGAAAATTGTGATGTTTCAAGCAAACAAAAGAAACCTTCTGACCTGAAGTCCACAATAGGGTCTTCTCAAATATAAGTGTTTTTTTCTCCTTGAAGTTTTGTATTTTGATGTTCTTCTGATGTCAATTATCATCTTTGCTATTACTATTTTTTGCAAATGCAGAAATCTGAATTTGCAGGTGATGAAGGGTAGCTGTAGGATTTTCTATATGCTTCACTTGTCAAATCACATTTTCAGTATTTTTTCCAGTTCAAGATTCCATACATTAGAAAAGAAAGCTAGAAACCTCAAAGATAAAATCTACTGTGATCATATGGCAACTGAAAGTCATATTAAATAAGAAATTCTTAAGGAAGATGGAATGCGCAACCTGGAACAAAGAGGAGTAAGGACACGGTGAAATTTAAATGTGTTAAATTAGGAGCTAGAGGCATATGTGTGTGTTCCCAATATGTAGAGTTCTGTAATCAAACAAAACTGGGTTCAATTTTAATGCTCCATCTATGAGTTTCCTGATCCTGGCGAGGTCATTCTAGCACTCTATGTTTCAATCCTTCCTTCTTTAAAATAGTAGCAAATCATAATCCCTATAACCTGTAAGTTTTGTTGTGATAAATAAGAACTTAAACACATGCAAATTTTTTTACATGCCTAGCACATAGAAAAAAAGTTCTGTTACTCATCAGCCTCATCATTATTACAATTACCACTGTTTCTTCATACATCATTATTATTATTCCAAAGGGGAAAGCAAATACTAATGAATGAATGTCCTAGCTCAATAAAAGGAAGACTTTCTTAACAAATGAAACAAATAACCATGGGATGGTGAGTTCAATAAAATAATGAGCTTCCAATGGCCATCTCGCAGGAATTCTGTAATTAAAAGGAGTTCTTGCATTAAGAAGTAGGTTACACTTGATGATCATTAAGGTTCCTCTTACCTTTCAGATAGAATGTAATGATTAAGTTCACACAGCTCATTAGTGCCAGTAAGTTTGGGGGTATCAATGTGGTCCCAAACTGTTCTTTCTTCTGGTTAATAAAGAGAGATGTTGGTCGGGGAGTTTCCAGTCACTACTCTGCACAATGCTGCCAAGCAAAGTTGCTTCTTGCAGCCCGCTAGCAGGCAGGCCTCATTCTCCTTTTCTTTTTTCATCATGAAAGGCTTAGGAAGCAGAGGCTGCCTGTTTTCCCCTCTACTCCCCCAAGAAAATGACAAAATGACATTCTTTCCCACTCTCTGTGAAATGATTTCTGTTAGCAGCTCTGGAAAATGCTGCAAAGATGTGAGTGAAATGATGGCAGGATTTGTTGACAAGAAGGCAAAATGATGGAATTCAGAAAAAAAAAAATCACCACATTAGTGGCTGAGGGGCCTCTGGGTTCCATATGTCCCTTTCTCCTTGGGGCTGGGGTTGTCTCAGAGTCATCTCCAGGGGACAGCAGTCTTATTTTAAATGACTCAGTCAGTGGGGATTCTAATAGAGTCTAATGGATCTCACCATTAACAATTTTTTTTACATTCAGCCTCAATTTTTCCTTTGATTAATTTAATCTATTTTTTTCATTAGATGATGGCAGTGATTTTGAAACAAAGGAAAGCATGAAAATTTGAAAGAAAGTCGTTGTAAATTCTGCATGAAATGCTTTTATTTTTGTAGCAACACAGAACATAATAAAAAAACATCTTTCAGGTCTGGGAGCAGTGGCTCATGCCTATAAATTTTAGCATTTGGGGAGACCGAGGTAGGAATATCACTAGAGCCGAGGAGTTTGAGACCAGTCTGGGCAACAGAGCAAGACTTCATAGCTATAAAAATTTTAAAAAATTAGCTGAGGTTCGGGGGTGAAGGGTAGTGCACACCTGTAGTCCTAGCTACACTGGAATTCAAGGTGGGAGGATCATTAAGTCCAGGACTTCGAGGCGACAGTTAGCTGTGAGGGTGCCACTCCACCCAACCCTCTGACAGACCTAGACCCTATCTCTGAAAGGAACAAAAAGTCTCTGACCTGGAAGTCTACTGGATGAGCACATTCCTGTCCGTGAGGCTGTGCTTAGAGGGATCCAAATAAATGTTACCTGCCTACCCAAATCAGGCCAGTGTGTGTGTCCGCCATCATGTTGGGGTCACCACCTGCAGAAGTCTGACTCAGCGACGGATGAATAAATGCACTCTCACATCATTACAGTGATTAGAGTGGGCCAGGGATGGCCATTGGCTGCTTTCAGAGGGTGAAATACAACCAACCAACCAAGACCCTCTGACTTTCATTCATAA